TCAATCGGGAACCATTAATGATGTCATTGAGAGAAAATAATAATATATTTACGCCGCCGAGATACCATCCAGGTGTCGTGAATAGAAATGGAATTGATCACAATGTTGGTAACAATGAAATTGATGGTAACCTTGACAACTTTAAACCGATTGTAGATGCCGGATACTATCAGAGCGGGTCAAAGAAATCGCCACAACAACAGTCGCAACCAGCACCAGCACCACCACAACTTGTTTACCAATCACCCCCGCAAAAATCTGAAGCCGATTCGGGTTATTATCGATCGACACGGTCACGGGAAGAGGAGGAATTGAATGAAGCTCCACAAAATCGTAAAAAGAAACAAGAATGGAAACCTGTGACACTTAATCTAGAGAAACATGAGAATGAAGTACCGGCCTACCAACGTGGTCATAGACAGCAGGAAGACGTGAAACAGAAATCTCCCGAACGTGAAAAGGTGAAAATATTTGAGCATGTAACAGAACATTTAAAAGTCGAGACTCAACAAACGCCTCAACAAACAATTGAAGAACAGAAACCAAAGGCACATGTTGAGCGTTTTAAAACGAGACCCACGCGTGACCATGTGCAAGAACACACCGAAACCAAAAGCAAACCACAGGAAAGGAAGCACCATAAAACATCCCCAAAGCAAAAAAAACCGCGTGAATCACCAGAACGTTTTCGGCGACGTACTAAGGAACTTGTCGAAGACGAAGACAAAGACAAAGAAGACATATTTTTCACTCCACCTGAAAATCCGGATAAAGTAATAAGTGTTCATGAGCGAAAACGTTCGTTTGAACCATCAAAACCCCGAGAAGAAAGAACTGACGAGTTTCGACGGCGAACGAAGAGTGAGGATATATCAAGGTCGGAAGTGCATCAAGTTCATTCGGCTGATGGCCGTAAAGTGGAAGTGTTAGAAGGATCGTCTAGACCGACTGTTATTATCGTTAGTCAGAAAGAGGATGTAACAAATATTGAGTCTGAATCGGTACCAGAATCAGCAACCCAAGTTACCACGGCAATACCCGATGAAGATGAAGGTGAAGAGTACGGATCTGGATCGTTTGTGTCTCGTACAAGATCATCATTGATTTCTAAGTTCACAGGTCAAAGTTCAAATTCGACTACTTCGCCACCTTCTGTTCGGAAGATAGAGTCTGATGTTATGAACATGGACCAGGTGAGTCTTGAGAAAATTGAGTTTAACCTTTTCCCAACCAGTTCCCTCTTTTCATCACAAATTCACAAAATAGTCCAGTTTATAGTCTGTACTTTCCTTCAGAAGATTGGGATGAAAAACACATTTTTTGAGTAGAAATAGAAAATTTACGTAATTTTTGTCTGTTGAATTCAAAAATAAGGTTCATTTACAAAAATATTGAATATAAGAAAAAAAATGCAGATCCAATTAAGTGCTCAGAATAAACCTGATTTATTTTTTCATATTTTTTAAAACTTTGACCAAAATCTACAGCAAACTATGACTGTCTGGTTCAAAATTAACTACTAGTACATGTATGAAATTTAAAAAAAATACACAACAATAATTTTGTTGGCAAAAATGATTTGTGTTTCAAGGGGTTGAAGATCATAAATAAAATGTTCACTGCTACCAAATTATGGGATTTCTATGGGAAATTCACAAAAAAGGTATCTTAGAATATCAACTGTAAAATACTTTATTTTAGCTGGAATTAATTTTCGCTGATTTTTGACGAGTTGAATGTAAAATATGAAAAAAAAGGTATAATTGCTGATTTTGGTTTTCACTGAATCATTCTTTCAGAGAAAATAGCGAAAATTAATTCTAGGTATCTGATTTACATGTATTAGTCACTATTTGAACGAAAACAGAGACTTGAATATTCTTTGTGCGTGCCTGCAACTATGTCTTACATTTAAATACTTTCAATAAATGAGTTTCGAGTTATACCGCCATGAGTCGGTTTTCTTGCAAGAATAGGGAGTTGATTTCTAGCATGCGGATTTATATTCGCTGGTTCCCGGCATTCTGACAAGCTATCGAATGTTTACGCAGCAAAATCAACCCCTCTAACGCAGATGTACATTTTTACACTAACTAGACCACACTAGTTAACAATGTAACAGTGGAACTCAAAACATGGCTTTGCATGATTTAATAGGCTATTTTGAAGACAGCGTCACATGCAGACAACTGTTCTATCATAAAGAATTATGGGTATTTTATGAGAGTAGTTGAACGTTTTTAGTGCATTTGAAAAAAATGCAGAAAACTGTTCTATCATGAAGAATTATGTGTATTTTATGATTAATCAAACGCTTTTAGTGCAACTTTGCCTCGAAAAATACCCATATTGTTCTATGAGAGAACAGTTTGACTGAAAACGGTTATTCTCAAATAGGAATATTGATTGATTAGTGTCTGTTTTATAGTACTGCCATGATGGCTTGTTGTGAAACCTGCCAGATTTGTAATTAGTGTCTTCTTTATTTTCGCAGTTACGTAAAGCGTATCTTAAGCAGCAGGATGAGATAAGACGACTTAAAGCAGAGGTCAAGAGGCGGGATTATCGCATTAGTCAGCTGGAAGCTGAAATAAGTGATCTTCAGCGGTGATTAATAGCAGTACTATAAAATGTATTATAATTAGTTTAGTCTTAAAATGAAATTAGTTCTCATGTCCTTTTCAACTCAGACTTGTTTTTTATGGTTAAGGTAGTGTGCTGCGCTTCTTCTCACATAGTTGTTAAAGTTGATTTCCTATTTTGTGCAGATCACCTCCCGCTGATTATTGTGGTCACTATGGGAAATGATGAAATCAGTTGCCATGGCCACAAATTCTGAAATATGGAGGCACAGGACTTGCCAGAAACAGGGTTATGGTGTCAAATCACCAAGTTAAACAAAATTTGATTTCAGGATTCGTTTGGATAAAGTATCTCATGAACTGTTAAAATTTAATCCCTTATGATGCCTATAAGGGTCAATAAGAGATTCTTCGCAGATTATACAAAGTGTGAAATGCTTATAGGCATTTTCTGATGTTCGCACAAAGTAAGAATGTGGTGCTTGTCACACCTCACATTACAATGTACATGAGATATGGCTTTGATAGTTACAAAGATAAAGACTTTGATCAACACGCAGATCAATGCATGAAAAAAAAGATAAATTACTTCCTGGTGTAATTAGAACATATTGAAAGAGTCTGTGCGAGTATTCAGTGTCGAGATCAAAACTCATATCCATATTTGCAACTGGGTGATCACATTGAGTGGTTTGAAATCACAAATCACACACATGTGGTGTCAAGTTGAAGTGATTGGCTGCACAACACTAAGACCTAACAGTCAAGCCAATCAGAAAGCAGCTTGTTTGTTGGCAGATTCTTTTGACCAATCAAATACTGTCTTTTTTATGAATGCTTGATCCAACTACAAATGCAGAGTCAAAGATGATTTACAAGACTGTACCTGATTGGCTACACAACCCTAATACCTAACAGTCAAGCCAATCAGAAAGCAGCTTTTATGTTGGCAGGTTCTTGCAACAAATCAAATCAAATCATGTCTTGCATGATTGCTTTAACTCAACTGCACAAGTGTGGCACAAAGACGTCCTGCCCCCCCCCCCCCTCCAATAAAAAAAAAAGATTGTGCTGCATCATCAGTGCTCTGTGTAAAATATAAAAATACATTACATACCAACTTAACAACCAAGAATAATTGATTATTTAGAAATGTTAGTCAATAGATAAGTCAAAAATGAATTCTATGAACTTTCCAAAGATCAAACTTTGATGCAATTTAAACCTAACTTAACATTCTAAAGTGAATTGCAATTTCTTGCCTTTGAGGGCGCTGTCCATTTCAGACTACAATACTTGTCAATAGATTCTGTACTATTTAATGCTATCAGTGATAAATTAAGAGATTATTGTGTGTGAACCAGAGATCTCATGTACATGTACTGTAGAATCATTAAGTGTTGTGTTTATATGGTATTTTACATTTGGCACAAATTCAAGAATGACATTTCTCAAAAATGAACTTTTTTAATACATTTAATGACATCCCTCAATGAAATTAATGAGAACTCAACTTTCAAATTACACAATGTTAAAAAATGATTAATTAAACTAATTAATTAAAAATTCAAAAATTTTTGCTTGATCTTTGGACACTGTATTAAAAATACATGAATATTGAATGGTTGTACAGTATAGCCAAGAATAAATCTATTTAGAATCGATAATCTTAATTTATCTTATTGTCCAACATTCTATGGGTCAGCTTTACAGAAGCCAAGAGAAGTGAAGAACTCTCCATTCATTGGTCAGTTTAAATACTGCATGTAGGGTAATCCTTCAAATCACACAATCACCACACATTCTTCACATGATCACCACATGTTCTTCACATGATCACTACATGTTCTTCACATGATCACTACATGTTCTCAACAGTCACCACATGTTCTTCACATGATCACCACATGCTCTTCACACAATCCTACATGTTCTTCACACGATCACCACATGTTCTTCACACGATCACCACATGTTCTTCACACGATCACCACATGTTCTTCACACAATTCCTCATGTTCTTCACATGATCACCACCTGGTCACCACATGTTTGTCACCACTGGTATTTATATTGATGTAATTTTCAATCAATCCAAGAACAGTGACTGCATCATCAACCATCATATGCATAGATTCTATGGACAACATTGTGACATCATTATTTGTTTATTTCTATTCTTCTGTGATTGTATCTTCTTCGAAGTATCTTCTGTTAAAAGTTATCCTTAAGTCTAATGATCAAACTTTACCAAACTAAATACCATAGGCCTACTGATCAAAACATTACTTCAGATCAAAAATGTTATTTTATCTTAATTATCTTAAGATTAATTTTTGTTTAGTTATTTTCATTCATTGTTTCTGAAGAGTCTCAGGTTAGCCTATTCTCTGTCAGGAGTAGAAGATCTAAGCAAATAAGAGCAGTCTTTTGGATTATGTCTGTCTGTCTGTATGTATGTATTGCGAGTTTGATGTTCCATTGGGGGGAGGCAGATATTAAGTGGAATAGCCCTTTATATACCCTCCCGACAATTGATGTATGTCACAAATTACCTTATTTTCGTCCGCCTCTCAGGAAGCCATTTCGTTTTAAAATATGCAGATAAATTTGGCATTAACATCAATGAATTGTATGTGGTTTCTCAAATCTCAATTCAAATGACTCAGGGGTTGGCTCATTTAAAAACTTACAGGGGTACATGAGGTTTTTGTGAGGGTGGGGGAGTTTACAAGGAATAAAGAAGTAAAAAAAAAAACACTTGTGCACAATAACTGTAGTGCAAAGAAAAATGGGAGAAAATGTGAATAATAAATGTGACACGTCTTGTTGATGTGAATACCCCCAAACAGATGCCCCCCCCGAAAAAAATTGTCAAATGAGTCACTCTGAACAATTGAATCTGATAACCAAGAATGTATTTTATTTTGTGCTTTCTGAACAAACTTCAACCACCATTATTGGTTTTCTTTTTTCAAAAGAGAAATATTATTTCGTAACTTCAATCAGTTTTCTCCTAAATTATCATTGAAAGTAGAGAATGTTTGGTAAAAATATTTATCTACCAAATTATACTGGCCGAGAATGCCAGACATAATTTTCAGTTTAAGTGTTATGAAAAACGTTTAAACATTTTATTTCTAATTTTGTTAAAAAAAAATGCAATTTTATTTTGATTATTAAAGCAGAGGGGTGGTCACCTGTGCATGTGCAGGAATTGAGTTCTTAGTAATAATGTATGCTACAAATGCAAAGGCTCATGGGTAGATGCCTTTTTGTAAACAGCATGCTGTGGTCATATGGTGCATCCACAGTTGACAGTCAAATGCAATTTTATTATTTTTCTTGAAGACTGAAACAAGGAAGTCAAGCTCACTCAATTTGAGTTTCGAGCTATGTTTGTTTGACAAACATTTACTGGAAAACTACATAAAAAATGTGGGGGAGTGGGCTTTGACTTTTAAATGGTTTAAAGTTGTCGCTTTGTGCCGTGTTCGATGTGGGACCCATAGCAACGTATTTAGCACTTGTAAAACACGCGTTTGTTTTCTTGAAATTCGAGCATGTGCTGTGAGACTGCTGTAATGGTATTGTAGCATTGAAGTAACAGAAGTTTGCAAATATCTCACGTTAAAGTGTTATCACTCGACAATGTATTCTATATGGGTCCCATACGATATAAAAAACACATGTAAAATTGTTATTTACATGAAACTCCCTATGCCTGACTGTGATACTTCAAATATATAATATACTGTAGAATACTTTATTTTCGCTTGGAATTTATTTTCACTGTTTTCGCTGAAGGGATGATTCTGTGAAAATAAAATCCAGCGAATATACCTTTTTTCCTATATTTCACATTAAAATCATGAAAAATCAGTGAAAATTCCAAGTAAAAAGCCATTTCAGCGAAAATTAATTCCAGTGAAAATAAAGTATTCCACAGTACTGTAAAATACTTTACTTTAGCTGGTATTAATTTTCCCTGAAAAGACTTACTTCACTAATTTTTGATGAATTGAATGTAAAATATAGAAAAAAAAGTATATTCGCTGGATTTTTTTTCACTGAATCATTCCTTCAGCGAAAAATAATTCCAAGCGAAAATTAAATATTTTACAGTAGTTACCTTACTCATTTTGTAAAATATGTCTGTATATAAAATATTCTGTAAAGAATGAACTGCTAGCAATAATATTCTTTATTTTAATAACACTAGGCTTTGCTTTGTAATATACTAACACATAATAGATGAAATTGTACCCTAGTTTTACATGGGAATATTATAATCTATAAAATAAATTACTCTTGAAATGCATGTTGCTTTGGTTGCAGCATTGACATATTTCAGGTTCAGACATTTTTTTTTTATGTTAAATGAAAGCAAAATTGGAATTTGTGAAATTCAATGTTATTTCATAAACCGGTTAGACCTACTTTTCACTAACATGTATGAAGAATTTGTGTGGAACAGATTTGTTTTTAAACTAAGATATTAGAACTAGAAGATTAGAATTCTGAATGAATTTGTAGATGTTGTTGTATTTCTGATGTTAAAATAATCTTCATTAATTCCATCATGCATTGCATGCAGATTGAACGCGTGTTCCTGTTTAACCAATCGTTGCTCACATTTGCCAGAAATTTCAATGATCACAATGTTTTATGCTATTCAATATCAATGTTGCATTTTTTGTCGTTAAAAATTTGTCATTTTAAAATTTTTTTCTGTACATTTGTTTTTCATGTGTTTTACCAGGACTGACCGGCCAACTAGAAATTTCTTTTTTGTTTTAAATACATTGTAATTCTTCTGTAGCAACAGACGAAGCTCCAATTTTCTCAAATTGTATATACTTAGACAATTCATTTTTTTACATGTTCCCAGCATGCAGTGGGTCCTAATGAAACTTACCCAAGAGCCTCTAGAAGAAGTAAGAGTTGTTTTATTTTAACAAGGATTTGAAGATTAATATTGTTTATAACATTTTGTATATGTTGACATAAATATGTACTCTAAGATAATGTTGAATTTAAATAAACCTTATAAAGCTTATTTACTGCTCATGCAAATGTAGTATTTTTGTGAATATTTTTAATCCATGTAATTCTTGGGGCGAACATCAAAGTTACTGTCTGGCGACCATCACAGTGTAAACAATAGTCGAAAATTTTCCAAAAAATGTACTTTGGGATAGTTGTTGAGTCTCCTAAACAGTGCCCCTACATGTGCAACAAATATAAATTTGGTTGTTCGAAATTT